ATTCCATATATTATGATCCAAAATCATATGATTCATAAATTATATGATCCAAATTATTATTATTCAAAATGATATGATCCAAAAGTTTATGATTCAAAATGATATGATCTAAATTTTTATAATCCAAAAATGTATGATGTATAATATCATTATGATTCGAAACTTTATATAATGGTTAAACATCAAAAACTAAAACTAATATTTAATTCAAAAAATTAAAAAAAATTAAAAAGAAACAAAAAATTTTAAAAAAAATTGAAAGCCAAGTACATACTGATAAAAAAAGTTTTCTAAAAAAAACATTTTTAGAAAAACAAAATTTAAATAAATAAAAATAACGAAGAAAAAAAAGAAAAAACTTAAAAAAACCGAAAATACTATTACCTAAAAAAGTTTTTTTTAAAATAAAAATACTAAATAAAACAAAAAAAAAAAAAAAAAAAAAGATAAACACATTTAAGTAACATTCCATGGACATTCGCCGTACATGACTATTCCCTCGAGTCTGTATTACGTTCCATGAACGTGCGTCACGTGCGAACACTACAAGGAAAATGGTCGTTAGCGGCGACAGAAGTCGCCGGTAATAAGTCCAGTTGTCGTCGGCAATAGTAATAGCGGCGACGCGTCGCCGGTAATAAGTCGCGGCTACTACTTCGTCGCTATTGATGAACTTTTCGCCGCTAATGATAGGTGTCGCCGCTAATGACCCTATCGCCGCTAATGATAGATGTCGTTGCTACTGACAGTGTCGCCGCTAATGCTCCGGTCGCCGGTAATACTGTCGCCGGTAATTACAATTTTCATTTTTTTTTAATTTTTTTTTTGTAATTAACGATTTTGGTTGCCGATAATAAAGTACTCGGTAATTACATAACAACATTCGATTAAATATAAAAAATAATAGTGTCGACGCTAATTACAAAACAAACATCCGATTATAATTAATTATATATCAAAAGTCATAATATCCGATTAAATATAAAAAAGTAATAATGTCGTCCGATATTAGTGTCGCCGGTAATTACAAAAAACAACCAAAGTTTTACAATCTATCAAGTAGCAAAGCGTTACAACGTATGAAAATAAAACTCATCCTGGCCTACATACCATCATCTTCATTCTCATCGTTTCCTCGATTATTTTGGGAATGAAAAAACTAATACAGCTCATCCCTACATGCCGGGTCATTCAACATTGCACGAAGATTTTCCAACTATATAATTAATAACAACATATATAAACTTATAAGTTAAATTATCAAACATAAACAAAAACTATGAAACCACATTGCTATTTTTAAACTAAGACAAAAAAGCAAAGTACGTTGTTATTTTTGAACTTGGGACAAAAACTTAATTACCAAACTTTTTAGCAAATAATCACCACAAAACCAAAATTACCTAATCAACATGCATTTTACGATGCAAAAGTAGATTGCTATTTTTAAACTACGACAAAAAACCAAAGTACGTTGTTATTTTTTGCACTTTGGACAAAAACTTAATTACCAAACTTTTTAGCAAATAATCACCACAAAACCTAAATTACCAAATCAACATGCATTTTACTATGCTAAAGTAGATTGCTATTTTTAAACTACGACAAAAAACCAAAGTACGTTGTTATTTTTGCACTTGGGACAAAACCCTAATTACGAAACTTTTTAGCAAATAATCACCACAAAACCAAAGTAGATTGTTTTACCTTTGATGGTTGTGATGGTTGTGGTGATGGTTGCGAAGGCTGTGGAATTGGCGGGAGAGCAGAAGGTTTACGACCAATGCCTCTAATATGGCCACGTCGCTCTCCTAATACTTTCTCAAACGCAGCTCTTTCTTGAGTGGGAGTTAACTCACTTTCACCTTGAGTTTGTTCTAACAGCTCTTCAACTAACCGATTCTGTAACTCCCAAAAGTGAGTAACAATTAAGTATAAATAAACATTTAATTATATGATAAAATTATAATTAAATACTTACATATTGTTGTTCCGCCTCAGCAGTAACAAATACACCATTCTTATCGGTATGAGCTTTGCGAAGCGTTTCCACTCTCTTCAGGTTCTGTTTAACTTTAAAAATTAGATTATATTTTGAATAAATAATTACATGTATCGTACATTACATTCTTATAGCAAGTACTGCTATACGAGCTTGACCCCCCACGATTCACATTTGTTTGCATTTCAAGGATTTTTTTGTTCCTTTCTGAAGTAATTCTGTGTTCGTCTGTTAGGAAATACTCAACTGCTTTCTTCCAGTTATCAACTTCCATACCCTGTGGAGGGTTGGCTAATGCTCCCGGGATATCTTCATACCCTCCGACTGACATAAAATATTCTTTTGCGTCAACTTTACGTTCTTGATAACCTTTTAACAAAGCTGCTTGAAAACTCTCTGTCAACAAATTAGCTTGTACATCCCGGTACATCTGATCCAAATCAAACTTTTTCTACAAAAAAAAAGTTAACCAAGTAAAAAACAATTATAGTTAACCATATAAAATATATTTAAATAAATAAATACCGCTAAATGTTGTAATACGGTGTCCTGTATTGCAGGGGAAACTTTTTTCCAAGTCCATTTATCAAAAGGGACCATGGGAACAAACTAGAAACTTTCTAGTATTTGTATATAAGTTTTTAAACAATTTTATAACATTTTTTGTGTGTTTTTTTTCCAATTATAACAATAATTTTTTTTTATATTTTTTTTTCAATTTTAGCATCCTACTTATACCAAAACCACATACTTTTACATAATACATAAGAGCATGAAATTCACATACTTTCACTTATATATACCACATATACACATATATAGATAATAACATCCTATTTATACCAAATACACAAATTTCACATTCATATACCACATTTACAACAAACATACATACATTTCACATAAACACACAATAACGTCCTATTTATAACAAACACATATAATTTTACATATATATAGATAATAAATCATTCATATACTTCTACCAAATACTCATATACCACATATACATCAAACACACATACATATATTCATACAAATATCAAATATACACAAAATTTTCACATATGACAATTTTCACATAATTTTCACATACAAATACAAAATTCACAAAAAATTGAAATAATAGAACTTGTAGTGGCGGAAATCAACGGATATGTAGCGGGAAAAATTGGTCTTCACCCGAAAATAACCTCACCCGTAAACCCAAAGACAACAACACCAAAAACACTGAAATTGAACAATTTCTTGCAATTTAATCTTCAAATGCAGCTAGAAATCGAAATTAACATACAAATACAAAGAGATACAAGAAATTCAACTTACCTTTCTTCAATAGATGGAGCTAGAAATCGGTCCCAAGAAGCCCTAACCACCCTTGACCCCTAATCTCACACAATGTTGGGAAGATATGTTGTTGGAATCAGCTAATTGAACACAAAATCGGTGGAAATTGGAAGAGGCGAACAACAAGAAACGCAGCAAACAGAATGAAGAAATGAGGAATCTGCGTCCGTTTTTTTTTTTTATCTGGGAGACCCTTTAGCGGCGACAACTCGGGCTTTACCGGCGACAGATAGCAATAGCGGCGACAATCTAGAGGGAAGGGTATCGCGTCATTTTTTGGTAACTATTAGTGGCGACTTTTTTACACTTTTAGCGGCGACAAATATGTCGCCGGTATTAGGTTTGTGCGGATAAGGTATCCCATCCGTTGGATTAGATATTTGATCGAACGGTTGACGTCTAACCGAGGGGGAAAACGCGGATTCGGATGCTAACCCTTTAGCGGCGACACTATTGCGGGCGACATGGACTTTTAGCGGCGACTCTAGCAAATGTCGCCGCTAAAAGTCTATGTCGCCGGTAATAGTGTCGCCGCTAAAGGTCAGTATTCTTGTAGTGGAACGCGTTACGACCAACTAAATGAGTTTAACGTTTGTGTCATTGACGAAATAATTGATGGAGAATAGTTAATTATCACGGTTCCTACCAATTTTTATGTTCCTATCGGATCCGGATATATATATATATATATATATATATATATATATATATATATATATATATATATATATATATTAATAATTTATTGAATTTGAATTAAGTCCACTATGCATGAATTGATGTGTATTAGACCATTAGAGACAAAGTCTATATACCAAATTACGTTTCCTAAGAGTTCGTCAATCGTCATTTTGTTTGCGAGTCAGTATACCAAATCATTATATCTCTTTTAGATGTTTGTGAAACTTTACGATTCATGTAAACACAATCTGATTATCTCCTCTGGTTTTAATCGTTTATTTAACCTTTTCTTTTTTCATAAGATGATTTCATTATGGTGATAGATCGGGGATGGGCCGATGATGGATTGGGGATAGGCCACGGAAAAACCCAAAATCTAAAAGTAAGGGGATTCGATTCTTCGTATCCATCAGAGATAGAGGTGGGAATGTGGATGATGTTAGACACTTGGAGATAGGGACATGAATGGTTAATCCCGTCCCATTTCCATCCCTCGCTTTGAAAAACATGTATACTAAAAGTTGAAACCTTCACATTTTCAAAACTAAAATTAATGTAATATAAGATTAGTCTTGTAATTAAAAATATGTATTTTCTTAAGTATAACCAATTAATTTGTTAACGATTTTTTAAAAAATAAACTAAAAGTTACTCGCTTTTTGTGATTTTCGTTTTGTGATAATAATAATGAATCTTTGCCTGTATTATTTACAATACATATGACGTCTTCTAAATAATTGAAAATTATAGACAAAAGGAACTACCATGTTTTTGTAATAATTTTTGAAACAATGGTTGGGTAAATATATATTTTTTTAATATATCATACCTAGGTAGAATTTAAAAACTAGTTTGTTGGAACGCCAATAAGGAAAATCATCTGGTCATCTTAAGTTTTAACAACCGCCTTCAATTTGTTTTTGTTTTTTTAATGATGGTTTTTTTTGCTATATATGCATCAACTTTGATCATGAGTAACCACCGAGTTTCCTTCAGTCATCCAGAAGAACACATTTACAAAAGTAATTCTTCCTCTGGAATGGCTATTTCCATGGACTTTCTCTCAAATCCATTTTCCATCCCCATAATCACAACCACATATCTTCTTCTTCTCCTTTGCCTTTATGTCTACACTCAACAAAGAAAAGGCAAGTTGACGAAGAAGTATCATCCAATTGCTGGAACCATGTTGAATCAGCTTTTTAATTTCCACAGATTTCATGATTACATGGTTGATCTTGCTTCAAAACACGGAACATATAGATTGATTACTCCTTTTCGCTACGAGGTTTATACATCTGATCCGGTTAACGTTGAGTACATTCTCACGACCAATCCCGAAAATTATATCAAGGTACGTGACCTGATGTTCATTGATTTGACTTTACAAGCTTGTTCCTTTAATGTTGTACGATTTCACGAGGTTTTATGCAATAATCATTCCAATTGCATTTCAACTTCTTAACCCTGTTTATTACATATTTATTGATATTCATTTTGGTTTGTTAGTGATTTGATATTTGAAACATTTTACTTCAAAATCATACCCATTCGGTTTTAGTTTTTAAACCTTAAGTAACTGTGCCCTAATTGATTTGAGCGCTTGTTCCATGATTTATTTGTTTGCGCTAAGTGTGCCATAATCTGTTTGACATGTTTACTTATTTAGAATTCGGTCCATCATATCATAAGTGAGTTTAACATAATAATATAGCATGCAAGAAACTTTATGGCTAATTAAAATCAAAACAAAATTATATTTAATTTTAACGATAAAATAACTATATTGTCAGCAACAGTAATCATTGATTACTTTTCAAGCTTTTTTGTTTTTTAATATTACATTTCGACTAACTTTATACAAAAAAAAAATATTATCATAAACTTTCTTTATTAGTGACGATATCCAAAATTGTTTGTTTAACTCTAATTTACCTCGTTTTTGTGAAATGTTTGGTAAAAGCCTTTCCAGTCATATTTTAAAAGAAATATTATTTGACAACTAACATGAAACAAATATATATTATAATATATAAAATTAGAAAGTGAAATATGTCGAGTAATTTTTATACGAGAATATGAAATATGTTAAAGTTATTACATATATACATACGAATATTTAAAACAATATTAAAATACTATATGGCCGTTACTAATTTAAGATTTGAGGCTTAGGATTTGGATCCGATCCAAACTGGTGGATCGGATTACTCCGACGCAGATCCACCATATGTAGTTTTCGGATCAGATCGTATTTTGAGCAAATATCCAGTTCTTTTGCGCATCTGCATCCAGTGTGACACAAGTTTTTTTTTTTTTTTTTTGGGTTACGGAACGATTCCATTTGGGGCCTTCAAGTGATGAGATATTGTTGCTTCAGTCCTTCCGGTCCTAACCAGATAAAAAATCGTGTCTTTCAACCTCATGAAAGCATAATACCTTCTATTATTATTGCAATATATGATCCAAAAGTTTCAATATTCTCTTTATTGAAAACATCATTGATGTTTAACAATTATCCAAAAAGTTAAATTGAGGGACAAGGACACATCTTAAAAAATACAAATTTAATTGCAGGGAACTTATAACCACACCATTCTAAAGGATCTTCTTGGTAATGGAATATTTACCGTTGATGGGGACAAGTGGCGAGAGCAGAGGAAGGTCAAAAGCCACAATTTCTCCACGAAAGCTTTAAGAGAGGTCAACACTTTAATATTTAGAGAAAATGCGGTAGAGCTCGCTCACACATTATCTGAAGCAGCAAGTAACGATCAAATTCTCGATATGAGTGTAAGTCCATTTTCGTCACTAGGGCCCATTTTTTACTCATGATATGACAAAACAAGATTTTATTCTTTCTCACATACATTAGATACATATGACTTAGTATGTCCAACCCAAAAATGTGGGATAGTTCGTGAAAACAAAAGCGACATTTGATTATTATGTTTTGATTATTGAAATTCATGGTATATAATGTATAAACAGGTTATCTTTATGAGAGCATCATTGGATGCGGTTTTTAAGGTTGCATTCGGAATGGATCCAGAGAGCATGTTTGGTTCATCTGAAGAAAGTGTAAGATTTAATGATTTTTTCGATGACGCAAGCGCAATGACACTTAAAAGGTATGTAGATGTAACATGGAAAATCAAGAAATTTTTCAACATCGGAACGGAAGCAAAGTTAAAGGAAAATGTCAAAGTGGTTGATGAATTCGTTTACAAGTTGATCAAGATCAAGACCGAACAAATTGATAAGAATGAAGATTCGGTAAGCTTTTGTAATTCTTTTAATGATGAAAGCGCCCTAGAACCTAGACCTCATCTTCCTAATTATAGGTCCATTTCCATTTACCTTCTTTATATTGGTTGTGGGAACACTGGTGGAAAGGGCACAAGGGTGGACTTTACCTTCCTTAATCTTTTCCCATAATAAAAAAAAAATGTACTTCTACTCTCGAAGTCATACAAACTATATTCAACTTCAAAGCATATATCATATCATTTGACCATCGATTTTAAATATTGCAGCGATACAAAGGAGACGTTCTAACAAGGTTTCTTCAATTCAAGGACATGAGTCCACAGTATTTGCGAGATATAATACTAAACTTTATAATTGCTGGAAAAGACACGACTTCTTCTGGTATGACTTGGTTTATTTACTTGCTTTGCAAACATCCAGAGATCCAAGATAAGGTAGCAAAAGAAATCAAAGAAGTAATAAAGTTTAAGGATGTAACGGATTTTACTGGGTTTGTAAATGCTATGACTGAAGATGTTTTAGAAAAGATGCATTATCTTCATGCAACTTTGACAGAAACTCTGAGACTCTATCCAGCAGTTCCATTGGTAAATTTTATATGGATTTCTTTCTTTCTTATTAACTTTTTTTTGGATAAATTATGTTTAATTAAACATTTGAGAAATCTTGGGGAATGGAACCGAAGAATAATGGTTAAATATTGCAAAATAATAACCTACTTTCATTTACTTATTTGACATATCATCCTACTTTCATTTATGTCTTTACAACATTGTACTTTCACTAAAATATTTCTTTTAAGGCAATCGACTTTAACAAGTCTGTCCATTTATTGTGTTCGATCTTTCATTGTACTTTGAAAATATTACCCAATTCTACCAATGAAAATCACATCAGATTTTTAAATAAGATTGCTAAATTTTTCCAAAGTAGAATACTACAATGGGAAGAAATGAAAGTACGATTACTTTTTTCAGAAATAGTGAGCGATCTTTATTTATTGCTCCTTTGTCAAATCTTACAAAATCAAAGTTTCATTGTGTAATGTTCTACGCATTATCTTATTTATTATGATTAAATGTTTATATGGAGATAATAATATGCATACTTATTTTTAAAATTATATAGGGCGTGAAGATATGTGCGGAAGATGATGTTCTACCTGATGGTTGCCACGTGAACAAAGGGGATATGATGACTTACCAACCTTATGCAATGGGAAGGATGAAGCTCTTATGGGGTGATGATGCAAATGAATTCAAGCCAGAGAGATGGATCGATGAAAATGGCTGCTTCCGATCCGAAAGCCCCTTTAAATTTACAGCTTTTCAGGTTAGTACACTGTAATTATTTTATTTAAAGTAATAAAATTTCAAAATAACCAATTCTAATATATATATATATATATATATATATATATATATAATATATATATATATATATATATATATATATATCGCCTTAAATTCTTATCAATGATACTAATTAGTCAAATATAGTTGTTAAATACAATTGAAGTGTGATTCTAACATACTTTTATTTTGAATTCAACACAGGCAGGGCAAAGAATTTGTTTGGGGAAAGAATTTGCATATAGGGAGATGAAGATATTTGCATCCATGATTTTAGGTTGCTTCGTTTTCAAGTTAGACGATGAAAATAAACAAGCAAAATTTAAAAAGACACTTAATCTTCATATCAATGGTGGACTGCATGTTCGTGTTTTCAATAGACCTCAATAAGATAACCTTTCAACTTATGGCTATATGGTATATGTTTCTATTTACTTTTCCGTGAACCTTTTTATTCCTAAGATTGAAATATGCTTCCAGTAAACCTATGATTGTAATAAAAGTATGTGTGATTTATTTTCTTGTTGATGTGAGTCTTAATTGTTATTATCAACAGATTATAGTTCATTGTTTAAAATTCGTATTAATTATGTATATTTCTTTTATAGATCTCTTATTAGTATTGTGGATATTTCAAAACGTGGTATTTTTTGTTAACTAGACAAGATGTTTCTTTTTTTTTTTTGCTCTAATAGCCAATAAATCAAGACATATTCTCCATTCAGTATTGACTTATTACAAATTTGTCCTTATATTTTTATTTTCACAACTATTTGATAATTTCCTTAAATTTTTTTAAGCATTATATATACATACAACACTTCATTAGAAATAGAACAAACACGACCAAACTCAAAACATTACGTAACTATTTAACACATGTGTCATTTAAACAAAAACACAAAAAATGTTTTAAATCTTATAAGTAGTGTACTTACTCATCATGAGGTATAGAACACCGGCAGTTTTCCCCAAGAAACACTATAATGTTGGTGGTATTATGTTTAAAGATGTCGGTTGGGGAACTTCGAATCTCTCCTCTTTGCACCTATATATGTCTTAATAGCTCTCACCTATAAAAATTCCTTTGAGATGGGTTTAATGTCAATAGTTAGTAATCTTACCATCATAAAAATATCTCCATGGAGAATAATATGGCATAGAATATACATCCACAGATGTCAAAACCATCAGAGATAAAGTTAATTACCTTGACATCTGAGTATGAAGATGCTATTCTTTGGGGAAGAATTTCTTGATCATAGGCCTTCTGGTTGATCTTATCTTTCCTTCTTCGTAAAACTTTTTTTTGTTTCCTTTTGCTCAACAGATAACTAATTCCCGTTCTGAGGGCGAAGCAATCTTCGATAAGATGTCCAAAGTTTTCGTGGTAAGAATATCACATAGATTTATCTTTCCATCCTTGTGTTTTGTTGTTTTCTTGGGTCATCTTGCTTTGTCCCCATGATCCTGTATTGCATAGAGCAAATCTGAATTATTAACAGAAAAACAATAGTGATATATTTTGGGATAATATTCATCTTTCTCTTTATCTTATAAAGCATTAACCCTACGATTCTCAGGTCTTGAGTAAGGTTTAGCTTTGTAAGATTTTTGGAAGAAATATTCATTCTTCATGTTTAGATGATCGTAAGACATATTCATCATCACCTTGATCTTTTTGTCTTCTGAGACCTCAATGATTCATCATTTCCTTGAGTTACTCTATAAAGGTCACTTGTTAGTTTCTCAAAAGTTATACTACAAGAAAATCGGCAATTAAACATTTTAATGAGATATGAGAAAAAGTAATAGAGTAAGGAGGAATGTTTAGGATCCATTTTAATGTAGATCCTGTAGGGGTTGAACCAAAACCCTTTCTTAGAAAGGAGTTGTTAGGATGTTAATGAATTAGAACAATCTCAATGTGTTCTCTATATTGGGTGACATACTCTTGACGATATGTGGTCCCATCATACATATTCACGTTGGGCATCTGAAACCTCTTCGAAACTTTGATATCACATATGGGATGTGAAAATACTGAAACTTGATGGCTGATAGGGGACACCTCTAGAATGGGTTGAATCACACCCGTGACTTGAGATCATTTCAATCAAATGCATAAATTCTTTCGCTATGGCGGGGCTCATCCCAACATCTTTTTCATATGGAGGAATTTTGAATATTCCTCAAAGATCTTGGGAAGTAGGACCTCCTGTGGTGGGAGTGTTGGATTAATGTCTAAGTCCATAACTATATTTGGTATGTACTTGACCCGACCCGGCATGGTCCATTTGGGTTGCACTTCACCGGCACAATTTATATGGATAGTCTTTTGAGAATAGTAATTTATGATTTATATTAATATTATATTAAATTAAATTCAATATATTAATATGAAATCATATTATTTAATTAGTATTGATCAAGAATTAATTTCAGACTAGAGTTAACTGATCAAAAGAACTAATTAAAATATGGACTCTTATATATATATATGGAATGGGCCAAGTTCATTTAGGTTGGGCTAAGCTTTCATGGATGGTCCATGGAGCTTTAACCCATGGATCTATGTAAATGAAAGGTCATGGGTATTAGGGTTTACATGGATGTAACCCTAATCCTCATAATAATATATAAAGGGGTCCTTGGCTCACAAAATTGGCACAAGTGTGTGAAAATAAGAGTGGGCCGATTTTTAGTGTGCATACATATTCTCTCAAGTTCTTCCAAGCTGTTTTGGGTGATTTTGTGATTCCATTTGAGGCTTCCACACTATTGGGGCTAAGCTCTTAAAGCTTGAAGACATCAAGCTACATCAAAAGGTATGTCATCTAAACTAGAACTTTGTAGTATAGGTGCTTCATAATATGCTAGTTAGGATGAAACCTTAGAATAGTTAATATTTACATGTATAATAGAGAAAACATAGATCCAAGGTTTATAGGGTTGCATGTACACCATAGGAGTGTTAGAATGCTCAAAACCCAACAGTGGTATCAGAGCCATGGGTTTGTTTTCTGTTTAATTGATGCAAATGTTTTATTTTCAAAGTTGAAGAAAAAAGGAAAAAAACATGACGTTTGTCAAATTTAAGATAATTACTTGTTGTTTTTGAAAAACAATTATTTGTAAAATTTGAATCATTGTTTGCTTTATGAGTTGAATTAGGTCAAATTTAGTAAAATATAAAATGATATGATTATTTTATTAGTTTTTAAAAGTTTGATCTCAAAGTTTTTTTGAAACCTCCATAAGTTATGGCTAGAAAAGTTTTTCAAACAAAATTGATTCAAAGTTTTTTATGGAGTTACAAACCTGGTCTTAATGTTTTAAAGAATTCCATAACGTGTTCTTAAGTTATGGAAACTGAAAAGTTTCATCATCAACCAACTATTTAACCCATAAGTTATGGACTCCAAAAGTTTTCAAGAGTTTTAAAACTTGCCCTCAAGTTTGGAATTTGGAAAAAGCTTTTTTATGATAAAAAAAAAAGAATTGAATTCTAAAACTCTTGGGTTCATAACTTAAACAATTAATTAAATGGTTTTAATTTTGAATTTAATAATTGGAATTAATGATGTTTTTATTGAATAATTCATTAACTCTTATGGACTTATTCATAGATAATTCAGTGTTTAATTAAAAGAGAATTAATAATTCCATAATGACATGGTTTAAATTTAATTAAATTCGGGCTAGTTTAATTAATAGATTAAACCACCAGTATTTTAATGTCTAAAATCTCTTATACTATTCTAATATTAAAAGTTTAATCTATATATGTAAGAGCAAGTCGTCTTCCCTTAGTAGACCTCATTCACGAAGCCGGTCTATAAGGGGGGGTATAGGTTTGCTGCCTATAAAATGGCAGTTTAATGGGTGTCCACTCTCACCCACCGCTTCCTTGACTGGTGGAGGGTCGTTAGCCGAACAGGTAGGACAAGGACTATAATTCTTCCCTTCATTAAAAGTATTAATGATAAAATCTAAGTAACTAAACCTTTTATTAATTCTCCATCTTAGTTACTTAGGAAAATGTGAATAAGGTGCTAATCCATGAAATTACACTTTGCACTTTGTTTAAACCGTTAGTGGAGCGTGTGTGGTTAACCAGCACACTAACCTGGATTTAACAAAGTAGGCAAAGGGTAACTTAATATTATCATAGTATCGGTGAGCTCGTGCGGTTAACCGGCACTCGATTGAGGGGTAATATTAAGGGTACCAAGTATATTTGCATGGTTACTTCACACCTTGTTTTGTGATCCTCGGCATCCCAGTCACAAAACCTGAAGGGCACACTCGAGATTGAAACATGCCATTGAAAAGTTCAATGGATCTCAAAATCTAGGAGTTTCAATCCAAGTAAAAAAACCTAATTAAATTATTTCGTTTTTTCATGGTGGAAATTGGTAAATCGTCATTACCTACCTTCAACTATTTTATAACTCGGATTACGGCATCCCTCTTCCAGTTATAAATAGGTTGTTGGATCCTAGCCTTAATATTTCATATGGGTGTTATATTAAGGACTTTACATCAACTATCTTGAATATCTCCCAAAAGATGTCGAGTTCAGACATCTATGATCTTCCCAAATCTCTTGGAACGTTACTTCCTCCACCTCCTCCAATTATTCTCCCTAACCCACAAGTTCAAGGTCACTCAAGCCCTAATGGCAAGCAAGGTCTATGTGTGATCACATCTTAGAGATGAAGTCACATATTGACAAGCCGGGAGAGTTGGGTTTCAAAGTCTTGAGAAAGTTGGATGTTCAATCACTTTCTAAGTCACATAGTGAGTTCCTTTGGGACTACTATGATATAGACTATGACATGAACCTTAATGATCATATCTAGTTGCTTGGTGCTGCTGAATCAACAATGATTTGGAACGATAGTGAAGCAAATTTGATTATAAAGAAAGGTTTAAAACACTTGTCAAATGTAAGAGTAAAAGTGTCCTACTCTTGTACATTTGAAATTGGTAAGTTGTGATGTTTTGGATAAAACAAAGACCAACTAAGGCCAATTGTGTGAAGTGTTTGTCTTGATAAAGAATCCACACTATCTCTTGAATAGTTTGCAAGATAGTCTTATATGTCAAGAGGATAGTGGGAGTCTTAAAGATCCTAAAAAGAATTTCAAGAACTAATCAAGAATAAAACCTGAGGTTCTTCACTAGCACACGACTTGAGGTTTATAACCTATCGTGTTGACATATTTTGTGCCCATTCCAGTTAAAGTTGGCTTTGCATAGGAGTTCTGAAAGTTCTCAATTGGTTGCATAACAACTTGGAAGCAATGACAGGCCCTATACTGCCAGGTGGCAAGAAGTTAAGATTGCATAAGTTCAGTCCATATGAGTTTGGATTTGTCATTATCCTTGTCTTGTGACTATGGTTTTGACGATTCACATGGATAAGAACACATACACCATAAAATCTAAGGGTCATAAGGTTTCTCTCCGATTCATGAAAATGATGGTGAGGAAACACTTCCACCAAGTAGATTTGAAGCAGATGGCAAAAGGTCTAAACAATTGAGACCA